TGGCGAAACTTCAGATTTCCGAGGACATGTCACGTGATAGGAAGTTGTGGAGGTCGAGTATTACAGTTGTAGGCTAGGAAGTAGTTGAGTCTCGCGTTACTTTGTACCATTGTGAGCCTAGTCCGGTAAGGTTTTAGTCTAAAATAACTAGGGGCATTTCCATGTCTTAATACTTTTTCTTTTCGGTGCAAGATCTATTTACTAGCCATCATTTCTACCTTGTATTTTTCTTCTGCAATTTATGTTGCTATTTTTTCTATGATCTTTATGGTGAAACTAATATTCTCTCCTTTTGTTTTTCTTATTATCTTGAGCCGAGGGTCTTTCGGAAACAGCCTTTCTATGCCTTCGGGGTGAGGGTAAGTTTGCGTACATATTACCCTCCCCAGACCCACTTGTGGAATTTTACTGGGTTGTTATTGTTGTTGTATTTTAAGGTTAGGCAAATGTCGAAAATGACACGTAATAGCTGGTTGTAACATTCCTAGTTAAAATATACTTATTTTAAAAAAAATATTTAAAGGTTACTAGTTTTGACAAACTTAATAATAGACTTCATCCTCCTGCTACTATTGTTGCTTCTTGTTCAGGCCTTCGAGGTCTGCGGTTAGGCTCTAGCAAGCCTAGTTGTCACTGAAAGATAGATTGAACCAAGGAATGAAGGTATTTTTCTCATTTTTTATTTTCTTCAATCTTCATACATCATTTTTATCAAATTAAGAAATTCAGATTTATTTAACTAATTAAGTTTAACTCTTATATGATGTTTTTCACAATCAAACTTATCTTCAATATTAGTGTTTGAGCAAATAAATACTAAATCAATTAATAATAAGTTAAAAGGGTGAATCTCAGTTGAACTTAATAAATTCTAGACCAAATAAAATAAAAAATTTTTTAACGAGTAGATTTCAGGAACATTAAATAGTGAGCTTAATATGCTATGATTGACAAAATATGTAATATCATAAATGTATAATAAATGTAAGAAATGAGAAGGGTTATAGTGGAAAGGAATTATCACCCAATGATTGTATGATTGGGTGTTCCCTTTCTCTGATGGCGGCGTGAAAAACAAGAGGTCAAAATTTATATGAGATGTTGAGATTTATGGATAAAGATTGAACAACATGTGCTTGAATAAATGAATAAGATAATTCTTTTGTATATTCTTCTCTCAACCTTTACAATATGTTCTAGTTCCGAAAAAAGCAAATCCCTTTTTGTTCTCTTTCTCTTCCTATTTATAAGGGGCATTTCCCAAAAACCCTAAAAAGTACAACATAAAGAATATCCAAAAGAATATTCATTATGCCCATTTATGAACCTAAGTTATCATTATTGTCCTGTCTCAGCTGCCCGCTTTTGACGTCGACCTTTATGAGTAGGGGTGGGGATACTTTTGGCAAAACCGAAATCCAAACCGAAATCCGAATTTCTTGGATTTTTGGATTACGGATTGGATTTTGGATTTAATTTTTAAAATTTTTGGATTTTGGATTGGATATTGGATTTGGTACTTCGAATTATGGATATCCGAAAATCCGAAATTCTTATACTTTATATTTAGTTCATTATCCATATGTCAATAGTAATAAGTTCAATATCCTACCCATTAGAGATTATCATATATATTTAATACTAGTTACTAAGTTATTATGAGAATACTTTCTATTTGGATATGGTTTTACTATTTCCACTTCTTATCTATCGTATTAACGTCTTTATTGTATTTTTTTATATAATAATTTCATTACTTTAATATTTCATTTGGATGATTGTGGTGAGAATGAAGAACTTTTCAGGCAATTTAACATGAGTACTTCATTTGGATATTCATTTTTGTAAAAAGAAGAGACATCTCAACTTATAAGCTCAAAACCGAAAATCCAAAATATCCAAACCGATTAATCCGAAACCAAACTTAAAAAATATAATCCAATTCGAATCTATTTGGATTGGATTTGGATTTTCATTTCGTCAATCCGAAAAGTGAAAATCCAAACTGAAATTTCATATGCAATCCGAACTGCCCGAACGCCCACCCCTATTTATGAGAACGACCTTCAGTCGTTATGTGGTCGACCCCATTCTTTGTCTTACTTATCTGTTACTGGTGTTACCAAATTTGGACCTATACAATTAGTTCTAACTTTTCTTTGCTAAAATTAAATATAATATTAATGCTTCTTTCGCCATATACTCAATTTTAATTTAAATATGTAATGGCAGGAGGCTGGTGTATTTCTTTATTTTTAATTTTTTTGGGCTCAAACTCAACTTTGGTATTAACTTGGTAATTTTATGAATACAGTAGTCACCGACAACTTGTTTGGATGGTTATTACTAGGGGTGTACATGGATCGAATTTGTTCGGATTTTATCAAAATCAAATCAAACCAATTATGCTGGTTTGGATTGATTCGGTTTTGTCGGGGGTTTTCTTACTTTGTTAAAATTTTGATAAGTAAATATATATTTAGTAAAACTTGAAAAAAACGACAAACATATGATCTATTAAAATATTCTTATTGGAAAATTTACTTAGTAACACATGATAGTTATTTTTTTAGTCGTCTAACAATAATTTTTCATTGATGTACACTTTAAAGGTTAACCGAATTTAATAATTAAACATAAAATTTAATATCATACTAAATAATGATATGTTCTATTTAGTTTTAGCTTATTAAAATAACACTTCAAATTCGAAAAAGATATAAGAATTTAATAGACCTTGAATATGAACAAGGAAGAACAAAGAGATTGACACATTTCAATAACACTTGATAAGAAAGTGATGATACAACACATTATTTTGAAGTAAATAAAGACAGAGCACTTCTTATTCTATTAAATATTACATCCCATAAGATAATCCAAAATATTTCTAGACATTTTTTTAAAGAAAGTTCTATATAAAGTCATAAAATTATATACGAAATTATATATATTGATATAGCAGTTCCGTTCGTTTTTTTTTTCTCAATACTAACCAAATCAAACCAAACCTAATCGATTTTTTTAAATAAGTTTAGTTTAACTTTTCGATTTGGTGCAATTTTTTGAACACCCCTAGTTATTATATATCATTTCATAATATATCATATTGTATTGTATTATATTTTATTAGATTGCAATGTTTTATGATGTCAGGCACCAACAATAAACTTACAATATTACCAAAAAATATATAATAAATTTAATATATAAAAAGGTAGAATAAAGGATAAATTATAATTATGCTAGGAAAAAATAATGATATACATAAACTAATATTTATTGTATCATATCAGTAAATTCGTCGTTACGTAACGACGAAAAGTGCCACTAAGAACCGTTTTGGTGTGGTCGCGTCGTATTTTTATTTTTTTCTCTTATCTTGCCCTCTTTTATTATTAAAAAAAAAATATTTTAACCTTTACCCTACCTTTTTATATAATAATATTACCTCTTACCTTACTTTTTCTTTATAATATTGCAAGTTTATTCTTCATATTATTGGTGCATAACATTATGAAACAACGTAAAATAATACAATCTATCCAAATATTGTATACCTTAAGACAATATATGACAATATAGTGTACAATACTATACGATACATTATGAAATAATACATAACAACCATCCAAACAAGCTATGACAATATCATACAATTTATAATAGGAGAATCAAATTAATGTGATAATGCTAAGTGTCACAATAAAAATGTAACAAGTGTCAAATTTTCGGACAAAATTAGTTAAGTTAGTTAATACTTAGTTACTCTTTTTGAAATTGAATTTAAAATAATTAAATTTCTATATATTTTTAAGGAAACTATTATTAAAAAAGGAAAAAATATATAAATATATAACTTCAATATAGAGACATATAAAATGATAAGACTAATTTATTTTTTGAGATGAGAATTTTTTTGAATAATAATTAATATGTTTATGCTATATGCTATATGGATAAGATAAAACTAAAGAGAAAAACATAAAAAATAATTTCAATAAATATATAAAATATATAAAGATAAAATTTAACATCTTATGTAGTAAGCTTAATAAAAAAAATAAAATTGACATATTAAATACAAACAGGAAAGAAGAATTTCATTTAATTTCTTATTGAAAATAATACAAAAACAATAATTATTACAATTCTTAGTGGATTTATGAAATATGATAAAAGAACTTCTCTGTTTAACCTTTGAACTAATTCAACGCCATCCATTTAGAGAAATAATGCAATAATATTCATATTATAAATAAATACTAAATGAAAAAAATTTAGAATCAAAATATTGTAGAACAAAAACTAATATATAAAGAAAAGAATATATATAATGTGATACTATCCACACTTTAAATTTATTTAATAAAATTAAGTAAATAAATAATACTCAAAAATATTATTGATAAATTTAAATATCGAAATAATTATGAGAAATTCATACAGGATAAAGTCAAGTTAAAGTCGAGTTAAAATTATAATTTATTAAAAAATATTATATTATTTAAATTCTCTGTAAACTACAAAATGAAAAATTAATCAAATATTATAGTAGAAAAGAATGTATGAAAAGAGGGGGTAAAGATAATTTCATGGTAATTATAGTTGGAATTAATTAAAAAATAAAAGATAAATAAATAACACTAAAAAGTTATTGATAAATTTAGACAATTGAAGAATTATAAAAACAATAAAAAAATATACTAAAAGAAAAGTAATAATAAAATATTAAGCCAATTGACAAGTTAATATAAAGTCACATTAGTAACTACTTGCTAATTTAATAAAGAATAGATAAGGAACAAACAAAATTTATTTGATTACTACACGATGTATATCTTTTGATTTTGTTTAAATTTTGTTATATTTTTGCACATTATATTAAATAATAAAATAATAATTATTAATATTTATTAAAATAATATAATATATTAGATCATAATTTTATGAGATTAATATTTTCTTAAATTATCCGCGCGTGTTCTAAAACATCCCAAGCTGTGAGCAGGAACCCGAGAAAGATTAGCAGAGAAGCGATAGATAGCCTAAGCCCAACTCTGTGCGTGTCCTCCACTTAAAACAGTTCTTCCACTCAACAAGCACTTCATTTGGTAATGGCGAGAATGGCTTGCTCTCACCTTCTTCCTTCCATGGCAGTTCCGCTCAAGTCTTCTCTCTTCAATACCTCTTTAAGACTCTCGGAACCCGCGCATCATGTGTTACTCATCAAAAGGCGCTTCTCCGTTGCTAAGATAAGCATGAGTTTGCGAGCCGGCATCGTTGGCCTTCCCAATGTCGGCAAGTCCACGTTGTTTAACGCCGTTGTAAGTCGTTTACTTTCTATCTTTCCTTCACGTGAATGTATACCACATATTTGTTGAAATGCCGCTTATGCAATTAATGCTCAGGAACTGGACGTAGAAGCTTAGAAATTGAACTACAAGTACAGTGAATAACACGCATAAATACTTGGAAATTTTATTTCCTTAACTAGATGTTTACTGGAGTTTAGTTACTGGTGCTTCTAAGAGAAGGAAGTTAATTGAAAATTGGATAGCGGTTCAACACCTGGTCCATGATTTGAAGTTTATAGGTTCCAACAAAAACCTCAAATTAATATACAATAATATCAGGGTTCATAGTCAAATTCAAACATTTATAGCATATATTTAGTGGATTTCTTAATATATATATATATATGCAAAAGCTACTGGATTCACGTGATTGATTTTGTATATATTCCCAGATGCTCCTCGAGTTTTATTGGTGAGCTGAGCTGAATTGATGCTATTCTATCTGATAAATGCATACTGTATATCTGTATGAATTATTTGCCAGCCAGAGGGATTCTAACTGAGGTTTTGAGTTGATAATTGTGTTACTAGTTCTGCATGCTGGAAAAACTTAATTGCAGAATTTCTGTATTTACTTGCATTCAGTGGATTGAGTGGGTATTAANTGTGGATTGAGTGGGTATTAAAGCTAGATATTGATGATTATCTTTATATATAATTGGAGTTCAATATCATAGCTCGAGGAGTTGGGTGTCACTTCAAGTGTTAAACCAGCAAAATTCTAGTGCTGCTTCTTTTTATGGTTGTTGATGTAAATCACGCTGTGTCTTAAACTTCAAGTATCTCCGGAACCCTCTAGCATTAACTGATAGAACTGTTTATGCAATTATTATCGATGCTATTACTTATATTGATTGCTAATTAGTTGGTCCATATGTGTTCGGCATTTCTTTAATTTTTGTTCGGTAGTAAGTGTCAGTTGCATTTGTACTACTATTAATATGTTACTGTGCTCTATTCTATGTGAATTCCAGTCTGTAAAGCTAACAAATGATAACATATGCTGGAAACTTAATACTGTACTAGTGGAGTTTGCTGTCAGATAACTCCTTTAGTTATCTGCTGGTATGTTTGCAGTTGGTCACTTATCCTAATAGCCATTACACACCATTATGTTCTTGCAGGTTGAGAATGGGAAGGCTCAGGCTGCCAATTTTCCATTTTGCACAATTGAGCCAAATGTAGGGATTGTTGCTGTTCCTGATACACGTCTCAATGTTCTTTCTGATCTAAGCAAATCCAAACGAGCAGTCCCAGCGTCAATAGAGTTTGTTGATATAGCTGGGCTTGTAAAGGGTGCCAGTCAAGGGGAGGTTTATTCTCAATACCTAAAGTTTCTAGCATCAATTAATATAAGTCAATCTTTTTACTTATTGTATCCTTGTGGCTTTATAAATTGAAGATAAGACAATAGCTTTATAAAAATTTCTATGGCAGGGCCTGGGGAATAAGTTCTTGTCGCATATTCGTGAAGTGGACTCCATACTTCAGGTTTTATATACTTTCAAGTGCCTTTGTCATTATTATCTATAATCTTTTTCTATGTTGAATTCCTTGTTACTTTTATATATCCCACTTCTGTGGAAGTAATAATGAGTCTATGTGACATTATTGAAGAGTGTGACTTGATCCTGGTATAATGATGAGAAAAAAATATTAAAATATAGATCTTGATGTATCCCTTTTTGATAATAAATGAAGGCAGAATACATAACTGAACCCTTAAACTTGGCCTTTTTTGTCACTTGGACACTTAAACATAGAATTGTTTCTATCATGCCCTTCAACTAAACCACATCTGTGCCAATTAGACACTTTGTAGACCATCTGAGAAAAACTTTTATAAATATTAAACGTGTGTATTACAGTTGCCTCTAACACCTTAAAATATTCCACCTTATAGAATTAACCCCCAAAACAAATTGAAACTCATTGTCAGAAAATGGAAAACCTTACCGTCAGCTCTGACGACTTAGTGCCCTAACAAGCTTTATACTAAAAATTTCCTCCGTTCAACTTCATTTCACTTCTTCTTGTTTCGATTTCACTGAATATCACGCTATTCTCTCTGTTCCTCGTCTAAGTTGGTGTAGCTTACAAGTGTCGTGTAAAGAGAATAAGCATGCCAAATGAGAATAGTCAAATCCATGTACACTGAACTTTCTTTTAAAAAAGAATTAAGAGGAAAAATGATGGGTTCATGGGAAGAAGAAGAGAAATAGAATGTAGGGTAAAATTTAGCTTTAATTGGAATAATATATAAGAATATAATAATCTATATTATATTAAAAGCACGAAGGCCCTTAGCGAAATGTCGTTTGCCTTTTTTACCCTTTAAAATATAGAGTTCACATTGGACAATATAGTAATTTAAGTATTTCATTAATATTTAATAAAAATTTAACAATCTTGGATTGATAACGAGATTATTTGGTAAATTTTTGCCACAATTATTTGTTATTAATTTTGCATTAATTATTTAGTATAATGTTTCTTCACGTTTCTTACATAGGAAAGTTAATAAAAAAGTTTCCCTAAACTTTCGCTTCCCTATGACTTTGTTTGTTTGCCTTAATTATTTGGTAAAACTTGTCTTCATGTTTCTTACACAAGGAAAGTAAATAAAAAGAATTTCCAGCACTTTTACTACTTGGTTCACTCTCATTAAATAACCGTATGTCTATTGAACTTTGGTTAAATTCCCTTTATTCTTTGGAGTAGTAAATATTTGGTAAATTTTTCATACACTAGAATAGTTAATAACGTTTTTTCCTAAACTTTTACTACTTTGTTCAACTTTCAATAAATGACTTTATTTGTCATTAAATTATCTAAATTAGGAAATTTTGTAGTTAGATTCTCTACGAGCATATAATTCCTTTTATGTATCAATTTGTGTACCAAAATATTTCTATAAAAAAAGCTACAATGTCACAATTTAATTTTCAAATTTCGCCCTATTCCAACACCATAATTTCAGGTTTTGTTTCTTTTACTAATATCAACATCTTTTATTACTTCGTATTTTGCAAGCACGTTTGCATGCACCAGATTTTATTGTTGCATCAACAATTTATCTTTATTGTTGCATCAACAAATTGTTATTATATAATTTTTGTTTCATGTTTTGGACGTGGCTAATTTCACATCTCACGTAATTTACAAATTTAATACTTATTATCGAACAATTGCAATTCATCACAAAAATCGATTAGACATTCGATCTAAGTCTTATTACTTAAATTAGTATTTTTTTTTTTGTTTGATGTATGATAAATAATGTACTTATTGCTATGCCAGCTCAAGTTGCTTGTTTTAAAAAAAAAATAAAATTAGACTATCTCCTTTAATTCTGTGTAATATTAATACTACATGATTTGCATTATTGCAATTGACATGCTTGAATCACTTAGATTTCAACAATTACATCTGTTCAGGTAAACAATCTTCCTCATATCATAAAAATAATCAATTATTGAATTAGTCACTTTGATAACTTATAAAACTCTTATGCATGCTTTATTTTAGGTACATCTGAATGGCCAGTGAAAAGGAATTGTCAGACCAGTATGTCCCAATTNAGCACTTTTACTACTTGGTTCACTCTCATTAAATAACCGTATGTCTATTGAACTTTGGTTAAATTCCCTTTATTCTTTGGAGTAGTAAATATTTGGTAAATTTTTCATACACTAGAATAGTTAATAACGTTTTTTCCTAAACTTTTACTACTTTGTTCAACTTTCAATAAATGACTTTATTTGTCATTAAATTATCTAAACTAGGAAATTTTGTAGTTAGATTCTCCACGAGCATATAATTCCTTTTATGTATCAATTTGTGTACCAAAATATTT